TTAGGTACACTGTTCAGCTGCTTGTTAATGCAAATTTCTAATCAGCCAATCACATGGCAGCAGCTCACTGCATTTAGGCATGTAGACATGATCAAGAGGATCTGCTGCAGTTCAGAGTGAGCATCAGAATGAGGAAGAAAGGGGATTTAAGAGACTCTGAACGTGGCATGGTTGCTGCTGCCAGAGGGGCTGCTCTGAGTATTTCAGAAACTGCTGATCTACTGGGATTTTCACGCACAACCATCTCTAGGCTTTACAGAGAATGCTCCGACAAAGAGGAAATATCCAGTGAGCGGCAGTTCTGTGGGCGCAAATGCCTTGTTGATGAGGCCAGAGGTCAGAGGAGAATGGCCAGACTGGTTCCAGCTGATAGAAAGGCAACAGTAACTCAAATAAGCACTCATTACAACCGAGCTCTGCAGAAAAGCATCTCTGAACACACAACACGTCCAACCTTGAGGCGGATGGGCTACAGCAGCAGAAGAGCACACCGGGTGCCGCTCCTGTCAGCTAAGAACAGGAAACTGAGGCTACAATTCACACAGACTCACCAAAACTGGACAATAGAAGATTGGAGAAACGTTGCTGCTCTGTCTCCATTTCTGCTCACACATTCAGATGCTCGGCTCACAATTTGGCCTCAACTGCATGAAAGCATGGATCATCCTGCCTTGTATCAGCGGTTCAGGCTGGTGGTGGTGGTGTAATGGTGTGGGGGAGATTTTCTTTGGGTCCATTAGTACCAATTGAGCATCAACGCCACAGCCTACCTGAGTATTGCTGCTGACCATGTCCATCCCTTTATGAGCACAGTGTCTCCATCTTCTGATGGCTACTTCCAGCAGGATAACGCAGCATGTCATAAAGCTCAATCATCTCAGACTGGTGAACATGACGATGAGTTCACTGTACTCAAATGGCCTCCACAGTCACCAGAGCTCAATCCAATAGAGCAGCTTTGGGATGTGGTGGAACGGGAGATTGGCATCATGGATGTGCAGCCGACAAATCTGCTGCAACTCTGTGATGCTATCATGTCAATATGGAGCAAAATCTCTGAGGAATATTTCCAGTAGCTTGTTGAATCTCTGCCATGGAGGATTAAGGCAGTTCTGAAGGCAAAAGTGGTCCAACCTGTTACTAGTGAGGTGTACCTAATAAAGTGGCCAGTGAGTGTATCTATGTAGACTTTTTTTTACAGTGAAGAATCAAAGCCTGCTCATTCTTCAGATGATTAAATAACATTTAAACCAATATAAGCTGTGCATTTTAAACAAATAATCTTGTCAGTCTGAACGCTATGGAAGTGCATGAATGACTCATGTTGAAATGTGAACAATTTAACCGTTTCCCATCATCACAGACCCTTACATAAGCATCAGCACACTTATTATAGCCACCAGTGACTCACAAAGATGACTAAAAAAGCGTGCATTTGTCTTAATCCTAATTATTCCTTTAGAAAAACACACACAGCTATGCCTGAAATAAGTGTTCTGGTATCACATGCCGCCTTAAGATTTCCTCCTGACCATCTGCTACTGTGATGAACTGCAGGAACGGCGCTAAATGACGGTCCCGCAGAGGTCATTTTTAGCCTCCACCTGTCACTCGGATCAGTTGCTATAGTTACGTTGTAATTGATTTCTTCCTTTCTCAGTGTAACGTATCCAAACTTAACCCACGGGCAATAAGATCTCTGCTTCATGGAGACGCGCTGTCACTTCCTGATGTAATTACTGCAAGTACAGCAAGAGCCTAAATGAGGAGGGCTAATTAGCAGATGCTGGACGTCGGAGTTTAGAGATGCTCTGGGGTCAAGCTGTTTTACATCTGTGGACTTTGGGTCATTACAATCTCGGCTATACAGCCGCTCTCGCTCTGAGAGATCTCATGAGCTCACGAGAGAATCTACATCCAGAAACACAGCCTTCTGCAGCGGCATTATATTTACATTTACATTTAGTCATTTAGCAGACGCTTTTATCCAAATTGCCTTACAAATGAGGACAAGGAAGCAATTTACACAACTATAAGAGCAACAATGAATACGTGCTGTAGGCAAGTTTCAGGTCTGTAAAGTCTAAGTAGGAAAGCATTAGTCAATTTTTATTTTTATTTTTACAGTTTTTACAGTTAGTGGTATATCCAGAGAGGCAATTGCAGATTAGGAAGGGAAGTGGAGACTAAATAGTTGAGTTTTTAATGGTTTCTTGAAGACATCGAGTGACTCTGCTGTTCTGATGCAGTTAGGGAGTTCATTCCACCAACTGGGCAGATTGAACGTGAGAGTTCGGGAAAGGGATTTCTTCCCTCTTTGGGATGGAACCACGAGGCGACGTTCATTCACAGAACGCAAGTTTCTGGAGGGCACATACATCTGCAGAAGTGAGAGCAGATAAGAAGGAGCAAAGCCAGAAATCGCTTTGTGAGCAAACATCAGAGATTTGAGTTTGATGCGAGCAGCAACTGGCAGCCAGTGCAAACGGATGAGCAGCGGAGTGACGTGCTCGTTTAGGTTCATTAAAGACCACTCATGCTGCTGCGTTCTGAAGCAGATGAAGAGGCTTGATAGAGTTAGCTGAGAGCCCGGCTAGTAGAGAGTTGCGATAGTCCAGTCTGAAGAGAACAAGAGCTTGAACAAGGAGTTGAGCTGCATGTTCAGATAAGAAGGGTCGGATCTTTCTGATGTTATAGAGTGCAAATCTGCACGATCGAGCAGTTCTAGAAAAGTGGTCAGAGAAGTTTAGTTGGTCATCAATTGTTACTCCAAGGCTTTTCACCATTTTGGATGCAGTAATGTTTGCCCCGTCCATATGGATTGAAAAGTTGTGATGTAGAGTCGGGATGGCAGAAACTTCAAGCATTTCTGTTTTCGTGAGGTTAAGCTGAAGATGATGGTCTTTCATCCAGTGTGAAATGTCTGACAGGCAGGCTGAGATGCGAGCCGGAACCGAGGGATCATCAGGGTGAAAAGAGAGCTATAGCTGGGTATCATCAGCATAGCAGTATATTACAGTACATTATTCTGCCATGCGGGAGTGAGCTCGATTTCACGATTGTTTTAGAGCTTCTGATTGAGTAGCCTAAGGGTGAAATGATGGTCAAACTACACTGTCTGATAAAAAGTCTTGTCGCCTATCCAAGTTTTGGGAACAACTTGACTTCTAGCTGATGATTTGGCATCAGAGGTGTCTCATATGTCAGGCGAAGGCCTCTAGATTTTGCTTATCTGAGCTCAATTAAATCTGATCACATCTTGATGTTGACTGATTTGATGAGGACAGTGCGGTCTGACTCTGCTCAGACTAAAGTGTCATCACTGAACAGAAATAATGTCCAGTATAGAATATAAAGTCCTGCTGCAGTGGAGACAGAATGAAGATTGTGTCTGACTCCATCATGAGCTTGGAGGACTGCATCCATACATCTCTGCAAAGGATGTGCTGTTAGATCTGCTCTCTTCTCAGCCCGGATGACATCTGTCATCTTACTTCATTTATGTTTCCATGCTCTCTGCATATATTTAGTTTCATGTTTACTTCTATTTTTACCCTCGTATTTGCTTGCTTGTTTTATCCACTACAGTTTCCACATCAAAGCGAACCACATCATCATGATACAGTGTAGTACACATCTGAATGCACTGGCTGTGTTTATCATCTGTCTGTTGTGCTTATATTTTTATCCTAGTGTATGTCATACCGCTCTGGATTTCTGTCTTTTGAAAGCCTGTTGTATTTCTGGCATCGTGCGCACATGAGTGTCGGCAAAAGCAAAACATTTGACCCTACAGTGAAGTGTGCACTTTCTGCACCAGCAACTCGTGATAGCGAAGGAAGAAAAAATATCATCATTAGATCAGCATCTTGTACCAAAGTTATAGTTGAGCTAATGTTGCACTGTTGGTTGGAACACAGCAATAATTGCGGGAGGGAGGGGGTAATTATAATTTGTATTGTTGAAAAATGTAATCAGATAAAAATGTAAAATAATGATGATTCTTATTTTAAACATTTAGAATTTTTTTTTTCATTGAAAGGCTCACAGTTGGTTACTTGTTATTCAGTACTTTTATTTATTTTATTGCATTTTCTGGGAGTTTTTATAAAACGCTTACTCAGCTGCTCATTGATTATGTTCACCTGTGTCTTATTTGCTTTATAATAAATTTGAAAAAAATTATCCCAATATTTTTTTAAACAAATTACTGTTTAAAAGGCTCATGTTTATTTTATTTTAAAATATCTGTATTTTTTTTCTTAAATAAAATTGTTACTGATTTGATCACTGATTGTGTTCACCTGTTTCTTGTTAGTTTTATAATAAATTGACATAAATATTATAAAGGCGAGGCAGTGGCGCAGTAGGTAGTGCTGTCGCTTCACAGCAAGAAGGTCGCTGGTTCGAACCTCGGCTCAGTTGGCTATTCTGTGTGGAGTTTGCATGTTCTCCCTGCCTTCGCGTGGGTTTCCTCCGGGTGCTCCAGTTTCCCCCACAGTCCAAAGACATGCGGTACAGGTGAATTGGGTAGGCTAAATTGTCCGTAGTGTGTGTGTGAATGTGGATGGGTTGCGGCTGGAAGGGCATCCGCTGCGTAAAAACTTGCTGGATAAGTTGGTGGTTCATTCAGCTGTGGCGACCCTGGATTAATAAAGGGACTAAGCTGACAAGAAAATGAATGAATTACAATAACTTTGGAAACCAATAACTGCTTATACTGTTAAGAACAGCGTATAGTTGTTTATTTACAAACAGTCTGTACTATTTTCTCCTTGATTATGTTCACCTGTGCCTTGTTTGCTTAATGATAAATTGACAAAACTGTCACAATAATTTAAAAAACTAATTACTTTAAAAAGTAATACTGATAAGATCAGCTCATTGTTGGATTTGTTTTTAAACTGTACTGTTTGCTCATTGATTATGTTCACCTGTGCCTTGCTTGCTTCATAATGAATTTGGCATAATATAAAAACCAACTACTATTTAGAAAGTAATCTTTTTTTCTTTGCATTTATTTACATTTTTAATCACACTTTCAAATCATTAAGAAAGTAACACTTGATTGCATTTAAAATGACAATAATAGCAGAATCAGGCTGTTTCTGTTGGCAGGCTTAAAACAGCCCTGGATTCAACACATGCTCCGATCCTCAGAGACATGAAAGAGTTGCCTCTAGAAATCTCTTATGTAAGCCGTCGTCTTTGGCACAGTTTTGTCAAAGGCGAAACAGGATGAACTTCAGTGTGTGACATACAAAAGAAGACAAACTGGATGTTGGCTTTAATCGCCGGTCGGCAGAGGCCAGTTTCTGGACTGAAAGTAGTTGCGAAGGCCGTCCAGGTTGACAGGGGGAAAGTAGGGTCCGATGCGCTTTCTGGCCCACCATTTCCCCTGGGCCGCACTGTTGCTGCCCGGACGGGTGAATTTATATCGAAAATGCTCTCCTCGTATCCACCTGAAAGCACAAATGCATCAAATCCAGCTCAGTGCCCTCAACGCAATGCATTTCTCAGTGTATGTTTTAGCTCATTAACTTCAGAACAAACAACAAAAACCAAACATCAGAGTTCACGAGGACTGAAGAGGGTTGGCACACACATTTCACTGCCGGTTAACTGTGATGAAAGAGCCAAAGGAGCTAAAGACTTTGAAATAATGTTCAGAAACATATGCATAGAGTGAAAAACCAGAAAGTGTGTAAACTTAGATGATGCATACATTATAGTAGACATTTTTGATTAATTATCTGTATACTTTTATGGTTACTGTATTTAAAATACCCTGTAGGTTTTGATGACACATGGTCATAAAGCATCGTTTAGGAGAAAAATGGTTGCGATAGCAAAAATATCACAATTTCAGAAATATTTGGAAGTGTGAATAATTTGATTGATCAATTAATTGATTATTTAATTTATTGGTTGATTTAATTGATATACTCATTGAATGAGTGATTGATTTTAATTTAAAAAGCCGTAGAACAACAATTACAACAATAATAATAATGATAATAATGATAATAAAAATTATAATAATAATAAAAATTGGAAAAAGTTCAGAAACAGCAGGAAACAAAAAAATAATATATTACTATTAAGATTATTATTACTGATATTATTATTATTATTGATGTTATTATTATTATTATTATTATTATTATTAACATTAATATTATTATTAACATTAATGTTATTATTAACATTATTATTATTATTGATATTATTATTTATTTAATAACAATAATGTTTTTTATTACTGCTAATACTTTTTTATGGAATAAAGATTAAACATAACTAATTACAACAAGGGTATTTGTATTAAAACTACTAAATATTACTAATAAGAACAATTAAAATGAGAAATGAGAATATTTACCGTTTTAGGCAATAGAAAAATAAATGAAAATGCTTTAAAATGTGTTGCTGAAATTTTTTTATTATTATTATTATTATTATTAATATTAACAATAATAAGAAGAAAGATTTTTAGATCATATAAAAGGTAACAATTTAATTATTTATTAACCATTTTTAATTTTAATATTAATTAATAATAAATAAATATTTAGTTAAAATATTACTAATTATATCAGTGGTATTTGTATTGAATATGGAATCTATCATAAAAATTCCCAATGAAAACATTATTATTATTATTATTATTATTATTATTATTATTACCATTATTAATAATAAGAGATATTTTTAGATGCAGTAAAATGTAATAATTTAATTATTTATTAATCATTATTAATTTTAATATTAATTAAAAATAAATAAATATTTAGTTAAAATATTACTAATTATATCAGTGGTATTTGTATTGAATATGGAATCTATAATAAAAAATCCCAATGACAACATTATTATTATTATTTTATTATTATTATTATTAACATTATTAATAATAAGAGATATTTTTAGATGCAGTAAAATGTAATAATTTAATTATTTATTAATCATTATTAATTTTAATATTAATTAAAAATAAATAAATATTTAGTTAAAATATTACTAAATATATCAGTGGTATTTGTATTGAACCTGAAATCTATAATTATTATTATTATTAGAGTTAGGGTTATTATTTTTTTTATATAAACTGTAATTTAAAATAAATAAAAGCTGTAAATGGGAATAATTATCATTAAAGGCAACAAAAAAACTATTATTATTATGTTATTATTATTATTATTATTATAACATCAGTAGATTAATAAATGAAATTAAAAAATGTTACCTCAAAAATGTGTAATGTAAAATATTCAAATGCCCGATGGCTGTGCAGATGGCTGTTTTGAGCTTTACCTGGGTTTCTCTCTGTCCTGGAATGGATTGTGTGCCATTAGAGACAGTATTGTGGAGTCATTGGCCAGCAGTCGACCAGCAATGTGAATAACCCACTCACTCTGCTCATAGGTCTGAAAGAAAGAGAAATAAAAACACTGAATCAAACACAAACACAGCAGAAAGATCCTCCATCGCTATGACAGGTGCAGAACAGCAGGAGGCTGGAGCTCCATACGGAAACCAACTCAGGCTCATTGGGAAAATGTGTCCAGGTGAACGTTTCTGTGAACCGAGAAACATGTGCTCACAGGCACTAAATTATTCACGAAATCATTCACCCTCCTGTGTCTATTTTTTGAATATTTTCCAAATGATGTTGAACAGATTCAGGAATTTTTCACAGTATTTCTTACAATATTTTTTCTTCTGGAGAAAGTCTTATTTGTTTTATTTTGGCTAGAATAAAAGCCGTTCTTAATATTTTAAAAGCCATTTTAAGCTCATTATTATTAGCCCCCTTAAGCAATATTAGTTTTGGATTGTCTCCAATACAAACCAGTGTTATTTTAATGTTTGTGGATTAACGATGATAGCGGATCCAAATGAGCATTTATTTAGCAGGATTGTCATACAGGCAGAGATCATCGCAGGTGCAAAACAGTACCATAAGGGTTATCCAAAATCGCAGTCAAGCAGGCAAAGGGTCAATACACGGAAGAACAAAGGCGAGGCGACACGGAAGACTAGACAGGAAAATACTCAGACGTAAAAACATTACAATATAGCAAGGCTAAGTCCCGAGGTTTCTGTGTGTGCAGCTTAAACAGTGTGTGTAATCAGTCCTTGACAATCCTCCGGTGGTGTGTGTGCAATCAGTCAGGATCAGGAACAAGTGTGCATGAGCGGAGTGCATGTATGGAGTTGTAGTCCATGAAATGGTGAATCTGTAGTCCATCAGCTCTTTTGAGTGTTTTCCAGCAATCTATGGTGTTTTAGATCGCTGGTGATCGTGACTGTTATACAATGACTTGCCTAATTACTCTAACTTTACCCTAATTACCCTAGTTAAGCCTTTAAATGTCACTTTAAGCTGAACACTAGTTAAATATCTACTCAAATATTATGTCATCATGGCAAGTACTTATTAGACTCCGGGTGCTCTGGTTTCCCCTACAAATCCAAAGACATGCGGTACAGGTGAATTGGGAAGGCAAAATTGTCCGTAGTGTATGTGTGTGAACGAGTGTGTATGGATGTTTCCCAGTGATGGGTTGCAGCTGGAAGGGCATCTAATGCGTAAAGCATATGCTGGATAAGTTGGTGGTTCATTCCGCTGTGGCAACCTCAGATTAATAAAGGGACTAAGCCGAAAAGAAAATGAATATATTTTGACACTTGTCAAGTCCTGTCAACTTTAGCCTGAGTTAAGACAACTTCACTATTTAAGTGAAGTAAACTTAAAATTTTAAGGCGGCTCGAACACTTGCTTTTTTAAGTTGAAACAACATTTTTTTATAGTGCAAGTCAATACCTAAACCCAACACTAAATAAACAGCTAATTCGGTGTTTATTGAGGTAAAGTTCTTAGTTATCGGTTTGCTAATAGCAAAAATTGTAGCACAAAATAAATTACGATAAAAAAAATAAGCCGTTTTCAGTCTTTTTTAATGTTGTGTTGAGATTAACTGTGTTTGAATTTGCTCTCTGTGTGTTTAAATTATGCGCATGTGAAGTCACCGCTGTCTCTTTCTCCTAATGAATTCTTCAGCAGGAGATAAATTTCAGCTCAGTACAAAAATCCCAGTCAATAGAGAGTGTGGAGATTATTTATAATCCTTATGTAAGACTGATAATAATTCAGCCGCGTCGACAGAGGAGCTCAATCTCCCCAATGCGTCTCTGTTAACCCAGACCTGGAGTTTTCCTCTCACTGGTGTTGATGATGATAACGCTGGCTTTATTTCTGACCTCAGAACAGCTGCGGATACAAGGTCATTTTAGTAAACTAGGATTTAAAAAGTCGGTTGCTATAACTATTATTATTATTATTGTTATAGTTGTTATAATTTTAAGGTCACGATATGGTTGTGTAAGCATTTCACTGCATACTGTATTGTAGTATATGAAAAGTAAGACCTCACAATAAATGAAACTTTAAATAAACTAACAGTCACTGAAAAATGTAAACATGAACTATTAGTAACTGAAATAATAATAATAATAATAATTATTATTATTATTATTATTATTATTATTATTATTATAATAATAGCTACAAGCAGAAATTTTCGGGGTTCAAGCATTTTAGCAGCGTAAGGTTATTTAAAATAACGGATATTAAATTACAGGAATTTCCTTAAATTTAAATTTTCTGGTAAATTTCTGTCATTTAAAATCAGTTATTTTACTGTATATTTCTGTCATTTAATATCCATTTTTTACAGTAAATTTCTGTAATTTAATATCCGTTATTTTACTGTATATTTGAGCCAATGTTTTTTTTTCAAGTTTTTCCTTGAATTATGACACTATCACAGTTGCATCATCTTGATATCAATAAATGCACTTTACAAAACTGTCTCGGTGCATTCAGGTCACTGTGTGTGTATGAACAGGACTTGTTTACACCCTCGAGTTCTGGCATTTTCTCCACTGCAGTCGCACAGACAGGTCAGCATCTCGTATCACTGCTGTCTGGCAGGTAAAGGACATTTCATGCATGCTAAAATCGCTTACCGCAGCTTTAGTGCAAGTCCTCGGAAAACAGATTGTGCTAAAAGCTTCAAGGTTACAGCCTGAGGACTCAAAAGCCCTTTCTCATAAGAAAGTTTCAATCAAGTTATGAAAACATTACTTCTCTAGACCTGTAAAATGTTCTGCATTTTCAGCATCATCGTTACATGACACTCACATGCAATAATAATCTGAATTATTTGTGTATTTGTTTATAAAATGGTTACTCATTTGTTCATTGATTATGTTCACCTGTGTCTTGTTTGGTTACTATTCATCTTGTGTTTATTTGCCCTCAGTTACAGTACTAATAGTTTTATAATGAATTTGACATACAGAAAATCACAATGTTTTATAAATAACCTGGTAACACTTTAGTTTAGGTCAGAATCCATGCTATTTACTACTGGCTTATTACCTGCCTATTATTAAGATAGTAACTGTTCATTGGTAGTTATAAAGTGCATCCCTTATACCTAAACCCAAACTTCAACCATACTAACTATTAATAAACGGCTAATTAGTAATTTATTAAGCTAGTTGGGTTAGATAGTGGTTTGTTAATACCGTGAATTGTGACCAACACTAAAATTTCAATAAACACTTTTAAAATCTTGTGTAAAGTCTTGTGAAAAAGTTTGTGCACCCTATAAATTTAAACTATTATTAAAATAGGGTGCCCAAACTTTTTCACAAGATTGCGATTGCATAAAAATATGATTTCCTGGTGACTTTTTAACCTGGGAAGCAGTAAAAATTCTAAGAAAGTTCCAATGAAGTTATAAAAAAGTGTAAAATCTCGTGTAAAGTCTTGTGAAAAAGTTTAGGCGCCCTTAAATATTAACTAACATTAACATAGGGCGCCCAAACTTTTTCACAAGATTTTGCGCGCATGAAAATGTGATTTCCTGGTGACTTTTTAACCTGGAAAGTGGTTTAAAATCTAAGAAAGTTTGAATACAGTTTTTAAAAAATCTTGTGAAAAAGATTGGGCACCCTATGAATATTAACTAATAATAACATAGACCACACAAACTTATTCACAAGATTTTGCCCGCATAAAAATGTGATTTCCTGGTGACTTTCTAACCTGGAAAGCAGTAAAAAAATCTAAGAAAGTTCCAATGAAGTTAAGAAAACATGTAAAATCTCGTGTAAAGTCTTGTGAAAAAGTTTAGGCGCCCTTGAATATTAACTAATATTAACATAGGGCGCCCAAACTTCTTCACAAGATTGTGCGCGCATGAAAATGTGATTTCCTGGTGACTTTTTAACCTGGAAAGTGGTTTAAAATCTAAGAAAGTTTGAATAAAGTTATAAAAAATCTTGTGAAAAAGTTTGGGCGCCCTATAAATATGAACTATTATTAACATAGAGCACCCTAACTTTTTCACAAGACTGAGCATGCATTAAAAATGTGACTTGCCGGTGATTTTTACCTGGAAAGCTGCGAACCACATGAGCCAGTCGAGTCTATAGTGATAGGGTGAAATAAGGCATGGTCTCCTGTCCAAAGCTCCAGGTTTACAGATGAACTCGTATTCCTCCCAGACCACATCTTCAGCAGTGTGATTGAGGCTCAGCGTGCCCTGAAAAACCACCTCCGTCCGCTCTTTAGTGATGCTGAAATATAGAAAACACAGGAGAAATAGAGATTTAGATGTGCAGCGGCTCTGCCATCTGCTGGACGCTGAGGAGTCCGCTTCAGGAATGGGTGATGTGGCCACAAAAATAAATGATATTTCTATCATTTCTAGGCTAAATTGCGATATATAGTGCATTTAAATCTTTTATTTAAATTTTTTTCAAGTTATGTTTAACGGATAAAAGATTTCTTAACACATTTAATAATAAATATATTTTCTATTAGCTTTTCCTTTGATGACAGCACATAATATTTGACTAGTGTTCAGCTTAAAGTGACATGTAAAGGCTTCACTAGGGTAATTAGGGTAAAGTTAGGGTAATTAGGCAAGTCATTGTATAACAGTGGTTTGTTCTGGAGACAATCCAACACTAATATTGCTGAAGGGGGCTAATAATATTGACCTTAAAATGGCTTTAAAATAATTAATAACTGCTTTTATTCTAGCCCAAATAAAACAAATAAGACTTTTTCCAGAAGAAAAAATATTATAGGAAATACTGTGAACAATTCCTGAATCTGTTCAACATCATTTGGGAAATATTTTAAATATTTGAACTAATAATTTCGACTTCATCTGTACATATTGCAGTATTGAATATCAGCACATAGTATGTTTATGTTAGTAACTATGTGTGACGCTGTGAGAGATGTGGATTAAATACCTGCCGAAAGCTCCGTATGTGTTGACGATGCGCAGGGGTTCAAACGAGGTGTTCATCATCTGTCTGGAGCTCAGCAGATTCATCAGCACCGGGATGCTCAGATATGCAATCAGGACACCCAGAGACACGTTCAGCACACGCCGGATCAGCATACCTGACACATCCACACACACACACACACACACACACACACATATATATATATATATATATATATACAGTTGAAGACTTGCAGGGGGTGTCATGGTGGCGCAGTTGGTAGCATGATCGCCTCGCAGCAAGAAGGTCGCTGGTTCAAGCCTCGCCTGGGTCAGTTGGCATTTCTATGTGGAGTTTGCATGTTCTCCCCGTGTTGGTGTGGGTTTCCTCCGGGTGCTCCGGTTTCCCCAACGAGTCCAAAGGCGTGTGTTATAGGTGAATTGGGTAGACTAAATTGTCTGTATTATATGTTTGTGACAATGAGTGTGTGAAGATGTTTCCCAGTGATGGGTTGCAGCTGGAAGGGCATCCGCTGTGTAAAACATATGCTGGATAAGTTGGCGGTTCATTCCACTGTGGCAACGCCGGATTATTAAAGGGACTATTCCGAAAAGAAAATGAATGAATGAATTAACGACTTAAGGGTTGCAGTTTCATTTCAAGCTTTTTCTATTACTTTTCGTTAAAATGACATAACAAATTTAAATTAACATATAAATTAGATTAAATTCAAACCTATTTATTTCATGATAATTAAAAGAAGGCGGAGAGTCTTTAAGTGAATATTTTCAAGACAAAATGTGATAATAAACGGCTTTATAAGCTCATTTATTACTCCATCAGAATCAGAAGGTCCACAATTGACCATATTTGGATCAATCATGAATATTAATGAGCACACTGGACTTTTCTGGACATTTTCTGGACTATTTATGGAGAACAAGAGAGCTTCATTTGTGATCAGAAGACGAATAAATGTCTCAGGGCATTGAAATTACTTGTGATTAATTAATATGAGAATTTTTGTGTGAACTAGCCCTTTAAAGGGGCGGTTCACTTTCACTTTTTAATTTAGGCGTAAAATAACTAAACATAGTCTTATAAAAACCTTTAGTAGGTGGTGTTTTGAGTCCTTCAGCTTCTTCTGTCTGGATCTTCAGTAAAGTCTGTCTGACGTTTCCAGATCGGCGGAACAGAAAAGCCAGAGCAGAATCATCGAAACAGGCCAGACTGGGAACTATAGTCAACCAGTTCAGAAAACTCAGATTCCCACTTATGATCAGAACGACCTGTTAGAAAACACACAGCAGAGCAATGCATTAAAGGGGCAGTTCACTCCAGATCAGTCTCTTTGGCTCATGCACTTTTTTACAGGTTTTCTAAAGAGGTGTATTAGCTTAGATTTAATGGGACGGGTCACATTTAATAGTTTTTTACAGTTGGGTGATTCTAAACTTTTATTGATTTGTTTCTTCTGTTGAACACAAAACAACATATTCTGAAGAATGTAGGGAAAAAAATCAGCCACTGACATCCATAGTATGTTTTGTTCCTACTATAAAAATCAGTTGTTTGTTTGTTTGTTTGTTTGTTTGTTTGTTTGTTTGTTTGTTTGTTTGATTGTTTAACAGGAACTGTGCACTTGGCATTGTTATACAGAAACAGCCAATGTCATGTGCATAAAGCATAAAAGGACACAAATAAAAGTAAAAAAATAAATAAATAACTAAATTAAATAATTAAATAATAACTCATAAAATAGTACAAATAAATAAATAAATAAAAATAAATAAAATAATAACTCATAAAACAAAATAAAATAGTTAAAAAGTAAAAATTAGATAACAAAAAAATTCAATAATCTCATAAAATAGTAAAAAAACAATAACAAATAAAAAATAATGATAAGTCAAGAAATAAAATTATAACATATTTACTTAAAATAGAAAATAAATAATAAATAACAAAATAATAATAAAACAATAACTCATAAAATAAAATAAAATAGTTACAATTTTTAAATAAATAACAATCTAAAAATAAAATAATAACTTATAAAACAAAATAAAATAGTTAAGAAAATAATAATAATAATAATATAATTATAATAATAACTTATAAAATGAAAAGTAAAAAAATAACTACATAAAAATAAATTAATAGTTAAATAAAATAAAATAAAATAGTTTAAAACATAAATAACAAAATAAAAATAAAATATTCTCATGAAATAAAATAAAACAAAATAGTAAAAAAATTACAAAATAAAAATAAGTCATAAAATAAAATAAAAATAAAACAATAACTCATAATATAATGTAAAATACACAATAAATAAAGTAATAAAATAATAACTCATAAAATATTTTTGGGTGAACTGACCCTTTATTAAGATTTCAGCAGCTTATTTTTATGGCTCCACAAGAGGGCAACAGAACTGTGAGTGAAAAAGCTGTGAAATTATCTAATACTAAAGAGACAGTTCACTTTTTACACAATGTAAAATAAATCTCTGATGTTTCTAGAGAGAGAGTGTGTGAAGTTTCAGCTGAAAATAGCACATAGATAATGTTCTCTAACTCTCTGAAACTGACCCTTAGATCTTAATTGTGATGTTTTGGTGACTGTCGCTTTAAATTCAAATGAGATTGTGATGTTTTCAAACGAGGGCGGAGCTAGGGTGTTTCTGAACGCACCTGGAAGAGGATCTGCAGAGCGCCGTTGATCATGCACATCCGGCGGCCCATGAATGTGAAGAAAGGCACGATGAGTTCGATAAAGTGATTGCTGAGAGTCTCGAAGCGGTGAAACCACCAGGGCGAGCGGTGCATGTAGTAGGACATGGGGTTCGGGACCGGCTGCGTCTGATGAACACACACACACACACACACACACACACACACACACACACACACACACACACACACACACACACACACACACACACACACACACACACACACACACTATGTGTGTAAAATATTTTAAAAATTTATGTGTGTGTGTGTGTAAATGTGTGTGTGTGTAAATGTGTGTAAAACACAAAAAATATTATAATTATATATTATAAATATAAATATAAATATATAATA